GTACATTAAACAACAGCAGATGGTTTTCCAATAGCCTCCCCATAGGTTATGCATTAGACATGATCAACATTTCATTACACCACTGAAGCAAAGCACAACAAAATCAATTTATTAATTCACGGTGTCTTCATAAATATGAATTCATGAATAAAAACAGGTAGAACTATCTACTTAAAAATCAAACAGTGCTCGCTGACCTGATGTTTATTCACGAGTTATGGCTTAAATTCAGATGAATTCACCACAGTTTATGCACTGTGGTGCCAAAATGAACACTCAGTACATTCCTTAGAGGTTCTGAATGTCACAGAGTCTGCATATTTAAAGGATGTGAAGAGTTTCACTGACAAACTGGTATAGAACAACAAATTCGTCATATAATTAAAAACACCTTTTTTATGTAAAATTATTTGCTACTGTTGTCATTATTTCTGTCAGTCAATATTACTGATAACTTCAGGACAGTATGTCAAACTACTGTTAATTAACTAGGTTATTAAAAATGCAAGCAATAATATACAGTCAGCCAGCCTTGGTGACAGACAGTCAGAATCAGTTTTTCAGAGAGGCATGTAATAATTGCATTTATTGTAAGATATCTTTAAATATAAGGTCACCTTTGAATATTTTAACATTATTCAAGTCTGTAATGAAAAACATTGGTCAAATCTGGGTATATGTAAAATATGGGGAAAAATATAAATGTAGTATAATATAAAAATACACAATTTATTTGATATAAAATACATTTTATTTTAGATATTTTATTTTATATAAGAGTTTTCGAGTTATTCTCTATCTGCCATAAAAGAGAGACCTATTTTGTCTTTAAATATTACATACGTAAACACAAATATGCCCAAATCATTTGTACATATTTATTGTACATAATTATACAACATTACATAATTCCATAAAATGTATACATTTAATGAAATATTATTTTATATTTAATCAGTGTTGGGAGTAATGCATTACAAGTAACGCAAGTTGCGTAATCAGATTACTTTTTTCAAGTAACTAGTAAAGTAACACATTACTTTTTAATTTAGAAGGAAATATCTGAGTTACTTTTTCAAATAAGTGATGTTAGTTACTTTGTTTCCCATGTCTTGTGTTGCCATGTTGAAAAAAATGGGGAGTAAGTGCAGAGGCGTTGTGTACGCTGAGATGTTACTGTAGTTCTAGACTAAATATGAACATTATTTACTCTTCTCACTGCACAAAAACAGATTCAGTATTCCTCAAAATGAATAAAAACAGTCAAATGCAAACTCAGAATATTATATAAACCTGCAATAATTAAATATGTTAAATAAGACAAATATAATTTATGTATTTAATCCAATTTTATTAACCAATGTCTTTGCTACTGACCTTCGATGATCTAATTCAACCATACTAATAAGCAAAAATGACACATTTGTTTCATTTTTGTTATTGCTGAATAGTGTTGAACTTTCTTCTCCTGCGTTATATTCTTCATGCAATTTGTTTGAGCTGCGCCCTCTACTGTACAGACGTGAATTTGCAATTCATTCAGCCTGAGGCATATTCAATATTTAAAGGATGTGAAGAGTTTCACTGACAAACTGGTATAGAACAACAAATTCGTCATATAATTAAAAACACCTTTTTTATGTAAAATTATTTGCTACTGTTGTCATTATTTCTGTCAGTCAATATTACTGATAACTTCAGGACAGTATGTCAAACTACTGTTAATTAACTAGGTTATTAAAAATGCAAGCAATAATATACAGTCAGCCAGCCTTGGTGACAGACAGTCAGAATCAGTTTTTCAGAGAGGCATGTAATAATTGCATTTATTGTAAGATATCTTTAAATATAAGGTCACCTTTGAATATTTTAACATTATTCAAGTCTGTAATGAAAAACATTGGTCAAATCTGGGTATATGTAAAATATGGGGAAAAATATAAATGTAGTATAATATAAAAATACACAATTTATTTGATATAAAATACATTTTATTTTAGATATTTTATTTTATATAAGAGTTTTCGAGTTATTCTCTATCTGCCATAAAAGAGAGACCTATTTTGTCTTTAAATATTACACACAAATACACAAATATGCCCAAATCATTTGTACATATTTATTGTACATAATTATACAACATTACATAATTCCATAAAATTTAATGAATATATTACATTGTTTAATTAAATAGTATTTTATATTTAATATTACATATTTAATTCATGTTTTTACATTTGTATTTTATAACAGTAAGAATATGCTTCTTTCAAATATTTGAGTTTTTTTTTTTAAGATTTGTATTTGTAAAATTTTATTTTAAAGCAGCGCCGTCACATACAATATACATTGACTGTTTTGATGAAGAGTTATCAAGTGCATTGAAAGCAAAAGTCGCTTAACACCGCATAGTCAAATATCATGAGTGCTCTGAACATACAAAACATTTTATTCAGTGCAGCAGCTTCTTAAATTTACAACAAATAATAAGCAGGCGGGTAGTAGGATAAAATGCATATATATATATATACACATTTGTATTTTACTCCATTTTATTAACCAATGTCTTTGCTACTGACCTTCGATGATCTAATTCAACCATACTAATAAGCAAAAATGACACATTTGTTTCATTTTTGTTATTGCTGAATAGTGTTGAACTTTCTTCTCCTGCGTTATATTCTTCATGCAATTTGTTTGAGCTGCGCCCTCTACTGTACAGACGTGAATTTGCATTTCATTCAGCCTGAGGCATATTCATTTCTCTTCTGTTGTGAAAAGGGCTTTTACCTTTGTAAAGATTAAGCAAGCCCTGCCCAGATTAAAAAAGTTACTCAAAAGTATCGTAACACATTACTTTCCATAAAAAGTAACTAAGTAACGTAATTAGTTACTTTTTTAGGGAGTAACGCAATATTGTAATGCATTACTTTTAAAAGTAACTTTACCCAACACTGTATTTAATATTACATATCTAATTTATATTTTTACATTTGTATTTTATAACAGTACGAATATGCTTAATTCACATATTTGATTTTTGTTTTTTAATTTGTATTAGTAAAAATTTTAAAGCAGCATTGTCACGTACAACATACAATAACTATTTTGAAGAAGAGTTATCACGTGCATTCACAGCGAAAGTCACTTAACAACACATAATCAAACATTGTAATTGCTCTGAACATACAAAACATTTTATTCAGTGCAGCTTCTTAAATGTACAACAAATAATAAACAGTCGGGTAGCAGGATAAAATGCATTTATATACATTTGTATTTTACTGCAGTATCCATTAGAGCACATGGTTCCATATTGTAGTTGATATACATAGCCACATCCATAGTCCCCCATGCATTTAATATGCATCATACATAGATACATCCAACAGAAGAGGAATTTTGATCAACATTATAAACAGGGGCTCCTGCCTGAGCACTGAGGACTAGAAAGAAGGTCCATAAGAATAAATTTTCACACACAAATTATTTACTAATGCTGATTTAGCCCTGTAAAAGCAATGGAAGCATTCTCTTGCTTGGTTTTCATTATATTTTTGTTTATGAAAAAGATGGTGGGGGGGGCTGGAGCCTGCCCTGTTTTTACAGAAATCTTAGCGGGTTGGCATTAATCAATAATTTAAACATTTTTTGATTTGACACTTCTCCAAGATGCTGGGTTCCCAAATTAGAGGGGAAGTAAAGGAAGACATAAACAGACAAAAAAAAGCAGGGACACAACGAGTAGCCTTCCATCCTGAATACATTTCCTCTGACTAAATGACATTCACTCTTGCGGTTTTCTCAACCATCTGTCTGAGGGAGCTGAAATTACACAAATTGACTTACCTCAATAGAAAGAGACTAATGACATCTTTGGTGTGCAGAAAGACCGAACCCTAATTCTGTTTAATTTGCAGAATAACAATGTGTGGGGGGAAGCTGAAAAGACAGAAAAAGAGAAGCGAGGAGCAAAACGCCTCATCTAAAAAGCACACAACAATGAACCGCTGCCTCAAAAAAGCTGAGCTCAAATACTTGTATCATATGTCCAAGAACCGTTGGGATTTCTGTCTCTATATACCGATAAATGGGTCGCACAAGCTGCTATTGTCATATTGTAGGTGACTTAGCACTATGGAGCTGGCACCCCTTAGAAAGAAATGGAGCAAAACACAAAAGTAGGTGTTCTAGAAGACTCTGTGAAAATGCCACAGGAGAAAACCACAGCTCTGTATGCTACACATGGAAACGGGGATCGCCCGCAAATGGACGCAGACCCCTAAATCAGAAAGATGGCTTGGCTTGTTTGTCTCACAAGGTTGTCCTGCAGAAGATTGTACAATGTAGGTTTGCACTTGTGTTCTCATCACAGTGATTTCAGGAAACACTAGCTAGCGACCAGCTAAGGGTTTCACTGCACTCTTGTAAACGCGTTTGTGCTGTTTAGTTGATGGTAGAGTCCAGCAGCTGTACAGCAGCAGACTGCAGTTGTGCCCTGCGGTTATGTTGACTCATTCTGGCTCAGAATCTTGCCACCGTTGAGCATGGCCGAGGCGCTGCGGCTCTTGGTTGGAGTGCCACTTCCGGAGCGGGAGAACTCGGTCAGGTCGTGCAGCGACGGCTCTCTGTACATGGCAACTATATGAAGGAGACACAAGTAACAGGTCTCATGAGTCTCATGTTCAGGTCGTAGCAAGTTTGTCTCCTTATTAGTACATTGATAACTTCTATTAGTGTCTACACAGCGCTAGGGATGGGAATCACAAGGAATTGAATGATTACGGTTCCTTAAGGGTTGCATTTCCTTGTACCTAAGGAAGAAATATTTGGAAAACAGAAATGCCAATCTGTTGCCAAATGTTGCTTTAAATGCTAATAAAGGTACGAACATATTTAATTGATTTAAATATAGATGTACATTTTATCCTACCCGTCAGATTGTCCTACCAGGGCTTACTGCACATGCGCACATCAATATTGCGTAATGTAGGGGGGGGGGGGGCTGAAAAGACAGAAAAAGAGAAGCGAGGAGCAAAACGCCTCGTCTAAAAAGCACACAACAATGAACTGCTGCCTCAAATAAGCTGAGCTGAAATACTTGTATCATATGTCCAAAAACCTTTGGGATTTCTGTCTCTATATACCGATAAATGGGTCGCACAAGCTGCTATTGTCATATTGTAGGTGACTTAGCACTATGGAGCTGGCACCCCTTAGAAAGAAATGGAGCAAAACACAAAAGTAGGTGTTCTAGAAGACTCTGTGAAAATGCCACAGGAGAAAACCACAGCTCTGTATGCTACACATGGAAACGGGGATCGCCCGCAAATGGACGCAGACCCCTAAATCAGAAAGATGGCTTGGCTTGTTTGTCTCACAAGGTTGTCCTGCAGAAGATTGTACAATGTAGGTTTGCACTTGTGTTCTCATCACAGTGATTTCAGAAAACACTAGCTAGCGGACCAGCTAAGGGTTTCACTGCACTCTTGTAAACGCGTTTGTGCTGTTTAGTTGATGGTAGAGTCCAACAACTGTACAGCAGCAGACCACAGTTGTGCCCTGCGGTTATGTTGACTCATTCTGGCTCAGAGTCTTGCCACCGTTGAGCATGGCTGAGGCGCTGCGGCTCTTGGTTGGAGTGCCACTTCCGGAGCGGGAGAACTCAGTCAGGTCGTGGAGCGACGGCTCTCTGTACATGGCAACTACATGAGGGAGACACAAGTAACAGGTCTCATGTTCTGGTTGTAGCAAGCTTGTCTCCTTAGTAGTACATCAATAACTTCTATTAGTGTCTACACAGCGCTATAGGCATGGGAATCACAAGGAATTTATTCCTTGAGGGTTCCATTACTGATTCTTTTGAATCTGAGGATGAAATATTTGGAAAACAGAAATGCCATTCTGATGTCAAAAGTTGCTTTAAACTCTAATAAAGGTAGGAACATATTTAATGTATAAATATATATATATACAAAGAAACTGCTCCAACTTATTCACAATTGTCTGTGATTCACTAAGAATAACTTCTCCAAAGAGTCTGGCAACTGGCACTAGGGGGCAAATGCGACAAACTTATGCCCCGATCAGACAGAACACTTTTTTTTTGCAGTGAGAGACAACTTTTTAAAATGGTTTTCTATTGGCAGTGTGCGTTTTGTGTGCTGTTTATGAGCCCCGGGTGCCTCACGTTTTAGCCACCTGCTGCGCCTCACGTTTTTGTAGGAGCACTCTGAGCACTCAGAAAAAAAATCAACTCCAGAAAAGTGGCCAACGTCATTCCCAGTTTTGTTCCATTGCCCAATCGAATGAATGGAGAGGCGGGCCTTCTGTTGTGGTGACAGAATTTTACAGTTGCTTGGAACGTCCAGAGACTGCAATGATGGAGGAGAATCTTGTGGTGGCTGTTGCAGGTTACCCGGAGCTCTCTTTTTTTTCTGCTAATATGACCGTTTAACAGCAAACCAAAGATTTTAGAGCGTTCGCTCTATAATCCTTGTTTAGACTGACAGGACAGCTGATTCTGTGGTTGCCTAGCAACATTTTTTTTAAAAACGCAATTTCATTTAGAATTTTTTTTTCATTTCAAAATGAAAAAAAGTCAACCAAAAAAGGCTGTGCCGTGTGCCTCATGTTTTCAAACCTGAAAAACGCATTCTGTCTCATCGGGCCTTATGCGAATATCCGAAATGGTATAGGAACACCTTACTAAAATAATAAATACTATGTTTGTTTTTTTGTTTTTTTACATTTTAGCACGAAACATACAGCGCAGGACTGGTACACACATTGATTCTTGACACACTCGTGTTTTTTTTTGGGGGGGGGGGGGGGGGGGGGTAAGAAAAAAAAAAAACATTTTTTCT